TGCTTCGAACCCACCTAGAGATGCCCTGGATAACACGCCTGGCTATCTACTTCCACAAACGGCTTGAAAACCCTACGGAGTACCTCCATTCTGCACATAGGAGGCTGCAGGTACTAACAATGTCAACATTACATAATTTACATCCATGTGGACTATGTGTCAAACATGAGAAACAAAAGGAACAGTGGAATAAAATAAAAGGAATCTCTTTTTGAAATAATTCAAGACTGTCAAATATCAGGTCTTGGTGGTAGTTTTCAAACAGGTGGTGTGTACTTGACTCTGTACATAAACTTCAATCTGTATTTTAATACACATTCAGATTCAAAACCAAATGTAACAGGTTTTAATTGGTTAACATTGACTACACTTTTTCTTACATAACTAAGTAAACAGGTACATTGAACTGCTATATCAGGAGAAAGATGAGTCTGTCTGACTAGGTAAAAATTTACAGTCTCAGACATTCCATGGAGAAGTTCTGCTCTGTCCTCGAGGGTTACTATGACTCAGAACCCACTCCACCACAGGGATTTGGTTTGGAAACTCTTCCCCAAAGAATTCTGTGCTCCTCAATTTACACCACGTCATCCTCTACGTTCCTTCTAATGTTTTTTGAGTTTTCTGATAAAATGATGTTTAAAGGGGCACAATCAGGGTTGTTGGTTAGATGGGGTAATGTTTTCCAAGGAAATTCCCTAGGACAGCACATATTAACTTCAAAGAATGAGCAGGTGCATTATCATGATGGGAAAAGATTCCTCAGCACAACTTCCCTGGTTTTTTTCTCACCAATGCAGTTTTCAATTTTCTTAAAACTTCTTCCTTGTAAGCCCCCATGACCACTGGTGTCCTTTCAAGAAAACCCATCAATATGACCCCTTGAGTATCTCAAGAGACAACTGCCATAACCCTTTGAGCTAACCTCTCGGCCTTGAATTTCACTGGCCCAGAACATCCCCTTGGAAGCCACTGTTTTGAGTGGACCTTTTTCGTAAGGAGACTAAGAAAAGTGTATTACTGAGAGAACCTGACTGCACTCACCCACTATCAAAGAGACAGGTTTTACGTGGAATGAAATTCATGGATCTATACATTCAAATCATAATAGCAATTTTTTTTAACTTCCTCTCATATTTTATTATGAATGTGTCCTATAGAAAAACTAATATAGCTAATGCAAACGAAAACAGACTAACACAATCTCAAAACAGTGTTTGGATTGGCATGAACATAAAGTTTCATCAGTTAAGAACATAGGCAATGTTTCCTTTAACTTATGTGACTGATTTTTATGCCAGAACCCAATTTAATACATCATAACTTGGTTGACTGAAATACATGTAAGAATACTCAGAGCTGTCTAACTGTGGAGTTAAAACAAGCCTTTTGAACACGGTTGCCCTTCACCTTTCATTTGTAGAGTTCTTCGAGAATACCGCTGACTGGGCCGTCTTTCAAACGTTGTTGATCTTCTTGGTTTATTGGTTTTTGTGGTCTGATACTCAGTTTTCCCACTAAAATAAATTAAGAATGTTAGCAGAGAAATGGGAGTTGAGGCCTACAGTAATCAATATACATAAATGTGAGAAAGTTTACATTCAGGTTGTCAGTAAAAGCATCATTCTGAGGAAACTATTACAGGAGTCTTGATGTGTCTGTTTGCCACGCTCATTCTTTCACCTGTTAGGATAGTGTGAAGTATGCAAAACAGATTACAGTGCCTTTTATTAGTAGACATGCAAGTCACCTAGGAACATATTTAGTAATTCTGGAATGTCTGTGCTTTCATGGAGTAGTTCTCCCCGCCCACAGTCCTCACCCTCAATGTGTGTAACTGGAAGATTTCGTTACTTTTTCTAATTGTGACTTTAAAAGCCCTTACAACAGAATGCATTAAGCACTGGGCTGCTAGCCACAAGAATTGTGATGCACTTTTTGGAATTATTTCCCAGAAATATATTTTTAAATTATTTTCCCTTTCTTCCTAATTTCCATTTAAAATTTAAGGAAAATGTCTCATTATTTTTAATACAGATAAAATAGAAGCACTCTTACATAAATTTTAAACAATGAATTCTTTCTACATTAATGGCGTGTTGAACACTCATACCAATAAAACTGACTCTCCAGTAAACCAAACATTTCTAATTCATGAATAATGAACTAGCACACTGTAAGAACAATGAAAGTTCAAGCTGATGAAGGAACACAACGATTATTCAGACCAATTTCCTACCAAGTGCAGAGTCCTGGTGTGGCACTGTGGACTGCAAGGTCTGTTTGAGCCACAAGGTGTGTGGTTGAAGCTCACTAGCCACTCCTCAGAAACCCTATGAAGGGTCACTACGCTTTGATACCGACTTGACGACACTTAACAACAACATATAATATATATAACTATGGATGGAGCAAACATAAAACTCTTTTTACTTGGATTTAAGTTCGGGGTTGGCTAATACACAAAGTAAATGTCAAAAGGAAGATAAACCACATCATACCTTTACTATGCTTAATGTGACTATCCAACAAAGTGACAATAACAGAATACTACACGTTTTCTTGTCTGTTTTTGCCAATGAAAGGCTTTGACAAACCATTTTAGTTCTCAAAGCCTTAGTAATATAAGGAGGTGAGCTAAACTGGCCTCTATGAGTGAAAGGTAGAGCAAACTGTTAGTAAAATTAACCTGTATCTAAATCGTGATCCTAGTCGAATAAATCCTGATCGATGAGAATTCTTTTGGACAGGGCCTCGAAGGCGGAAGAAGGCATGATGCTCCACAGCACATTTCCATAAGTGTTTGCAAGCTTTAGGATGTTCCAGTCTAAAGACAAATGTATGCTCCTGCTCTTTGCCCTGAAAAAGAAAAGGATGTAAAGAAGGTAAGTAATTATTAGGTTAGAACGTCCTTGTTGTCGTGTTGTGGTGAAGTGATGTCGAGTTAGTTCCACTTCATCGTGATCCTGTAAAGGGTTTCAAGGATTAGCTGGTACGTTTGAACCGCCAACCCTGAAAGTTCAAACTGACCTTATGGTCGAGTGCTAATCCTACCGTGCCACACCAGGACTCCTAAAACATCCTACACCTGTTACTTATTCCTAAACCCACTGCCATCATGTTAATTCCACCTCACAGCAACCCTACAAGTCCTAACAGAGCTGCACAGTAGGTCATCCAAGGCTGTAAATCTGTAAGGAAACTCTCCTTTGGAGAGCCTGGTGGGTTCTTTCCAACTGCCTACCTCTTGGTTGGGAGCCCAGCACTTCAGTCACTGTGTCACTAGAGCTCCTTTACCCTTATTGTTATTGTTGTTGAACTGCTGTGAAATCAGTTCCAATTCAGCTACATCCCCACCACAGCTATGCCAAGAATCAAATAATAAAGCAACTCGTTTGTTCCCTTAAATTCACACGATCTTTATAGCTACACCTCTATAAAAATACAGACTTGAAACCAAGCTATTTACTTTCTTAGACAGTATGAAATTATTCCTAAGGATTTTCCTGCTACATGATCTCTTTTCTCAGAGACATAAAATGAGTTTTAATCTGTCATTCTTTGGGATAATTGTGCAATGACAATTTCAAGATGGTATTAACATCTGGTAATATACACCAAATCGCCTTTAAGATGGTAACATTTTTTGTCATGTAATCATACTCATAGGAATCTAATTATAACATGAACATGCACAGGTGTTTTCTTAGTATTTCACATGAATTACTGCAAATAATAAATTCTGTCACTAACTTCATCTCTCAGAAAAGGGAAGTGAGACTTAAAAAAAGATTAAGCATCTTGTGCAGAGTCAGTGAAAAAGAAGACAGAATTTGAACCTAGCCAATCTGGCTCCAGAGTCACTATTTGCAACAATTATGATATACTGAGACTCTAAGAAAAGTAAATCTAAACACTAAAATTACAAACAAAGATTTTCTTCACAATCCTACTTAAAAGAGCAAACATAGGCAAAACGCCCTGAATGTCCAAAAGAGAAAAATGGTCAAGGAAATAATTGTATATCAACATACTGCCCATTCCTGCCTTAGCCTCACAATCATTGCTATGTTTGAGCCCATTTCTGGAACCACTGAATCAATCCATCTAGTTGACTCTCTACTTTACCAAACACGCTGTCTTGGTTATGTGGTGCTGCTATACTGGTTACCCCCACTACCCATAAGTAAAGTTTTCCTATGAAACCTTATGTAAGCAGAAATGGTAGAAAACAAGGAAGTAATTATGTGGAAAAACTGAACATTGCCAAAATAAAAAAGTACGTACCAAATCATACCAAATAACAGAGAAAACTTAAAACTAACATATAGTATTCACAGACACAGCTCAAAGCTACAGTGGCTGGTTACTGAGAAACTTAGTGTGTAGTTCCTTGCCTCTTCAAGGGCTCACTGAATGCTAGTTTCACTTTTCACCTTTTATCAACAGAACAAAATCTTTTTCAGTTTCTTTGAGTTAGCAAAAATCAATACTAATGTAGTACTAATGTAAAAGCAAAGTAGCATAAAGTAAACTTTCGAATAGCAAGAGATACCTGTAACAAATTTTTTTTTTTCACAGTTTAGGAGGCTAGAAAGTCTGAATTCAGGCTGTTGTGTTAGCTGTGGAGGAAGGTCCATGTCTCTTATGAATTTCACCTCCTAGGCATCTCTCTTCTTCCATGTCTGATTTCCTGTTTCCATTTATTTCTTATTAAGAGACTTACTCACATAACAGAACACTCATTCCCAAATTGAGATTATAACTGGAGGCATAGAAGTTAGGATTTCTAACACAAATTTTAGAACATACAATTCAATCCACAAAAATGTCATTCTTCAGGGATTGGGACCTCCTAAGGCGCTCTGGTAGCATAGTGGTTACGAATTGGGCTGCAAACCTTAAGGTTAGCAGTTCGAAATTACCAGCTGTTCCGCGGGAGAAAGATGAGGCTTTCTACTCCCATAAAGATTTCAGCCTTGGAAACCCTGTACAGGGTCGTTATGAGTCGGATCCAACTCCACGGCACATAACCACCAACCACCAATAAACCAGAGTCCTGGTGTGGCACTGTAGGATAATGCATCAGACTGCAAAGTCATTTGAACTGCAAGGTTGGTGGTTCAGGCTCACCAGCTGCTCCTTGGAAATCCTATACAGGTCACTATGGGTATGTAAATGAAAGTTTTATCCTTCCTTATAAAATGATTCTAACTTTACAACATTCCAAGACAGATTTATATGTCCTTCTGGTTGCTGTTGTTGTTAAGGACCACCTAGTCAGTTTCAATTCATAGTGACCCTGTAAAGGGTTTCGGAGGAACAGCTAGTGAGCTTGAACTGCCAACCCTGCAGTTCAAACCAACCTTGCAGTCCAGTGCATTAACCCACAGGGTTAATGCCATCTATTCTGTATTCTTGAGTAACACAGTAATTCAAATGCATGGATTCCCCTTCAGTCTTTCTTATTCAGTGTCTAGTTTTCACATACATGAGGCAATTGATGATACTTTAATCCTAAAGTAATATCTTTGCTTTTTAAAAAACTTTAAAGAGGTCTTTTGCATCAGGTTTGCCTAATGCAATACTATCTTTGATTTCATGACTGCTGCTTCCATGGTTATTGATTGTGGATCCAAGTAAGCTGAAATCTTCTTGTTGTTAAGTGCCTTTGAGTCGGTATTGACCCTGTGTAGGGTTTCCAAAGAGAGGCTGGTGGATTTGAACCATCAACCTTGCAGCTAGCAGTCCAGTAATTATCCTACAGAGCAGGACAACTTCAATTCTCCGTTGAGCAGGATGTTGCCTATTGGTCCAACTATGAGGATATTTATTTTCTTATACTGAGGTATAGCAGTTTGATCTCAGTCAGTATGTGCTTCAAATCCTCTTCACTTTCAGCAAGCATAGCTATGTCATTTATCACAGACTGTAAATTATCTTCTGCCAATCCTGATGCCACATATTTCTTCATACAGTCCAGCTTCTAGGATTATTTGCTCAGCACACAGACTGAGTAAATATGGGAAGAAAGGATCCACATCAGATGCACAGCTTCCGTAATTTTAAACCATTCGGTATCCCCTGGTTCTGTTCACTGGCTGTATGTAGGTCTACATACAGGTTCTGCATGAGTACAATTAAGTGACCTGAGGTTCTCATTCATCATAATGTTATCTATAATTTGTTATGATCCACAGTTCTTGAAGAGCCAGATAATCATTGGTAAGCATCCTGCCTTGACTCTCGTTCAGCAAAAATTCATTTAGTATCAGTTCTACATTCTCTTCTGAATCCTACTTCACTTTCTGGTGGCACCCTGCTAATGTACTGCTGCAACCATTTTTAAATTGTCTTTAGATAATTTTATTAGTATGTGACACTACTATATGATACAGAGTTAAATGATTTCCACATTCTGTTGGAGCATAAATTTGAACGACAGTTGTACTTACTGGTCTTCCTTATAGGCATATAGATGTTATCCTAATACAGACAGCATTATACTTCAGATCTTGAAACATTCTTTTTGATGATGAATGATGTTTTTTTTTTTTTTTGACACCATTCCTCTTCACATTGCAATTCCTGGCACAGTAAATCATATGGTTTACTAACTGTGGCTGCTATTAAGTGCCATCGAATTGGTTCCCACCCATAGGATTATCTAATTCAAAATGGCCATATCAGTTCACTAATGCCAAAGATAATCAATTTTTATAAGTTCCATTTAAGTTCTGACTTCAAATTTTTCTAGATTTACAATTCATACAATCCACTTTCCAATTATTAATGGATGTTTGCAGCTGTTTCTTCTCATTTTGAATCATACCCCATCAGCAAATGATGGTCCTGAAAGCTCTGCTCCATCATTAAGGGCAAATCCACATTGAGATGGCAGCTCTTCTCCGATAGTATTGTAAATACCTTCCAGTCTGAGGTGTTCAGGTTCCAGCACTGTACCAGCCAAAGTACCACTGCTATTCATAAAGTTTTTGATGGCTAGCCTATTTCTTCTTACCAGTCTTTCTTAGTCTGGAAGCTCCCCTGAAACCTATCCACCATGGGAAACCCTACTGGTATTTAAAATACTGGTGGCATAGCCTCCAGCATCACGGCAGCACATACATCATCACAGTAGAACACACTGTTACCATGAACTTTGCTCTTGACTGGTCCTCTTCAGCTTTGACAGGACCACTTCTACCATTCATACTAATTGCTTGGAACTGTGCCTTTATCTTCAGGCAACCAATTCGACAGCAATTAACAACAACAACAACACTTCCTATATATTTAAGTGCATTTAAAATATTATTAATATTCACAGTAAAATTGTCTTTACATAGATCTGTGAATTCTGACAAACACATCATCATATACACAATGAAAATCAGTATACATACCAGATCCCTCATCTGAAAAATAATTCCCCTGGCCTTCATAGTCAAATCCCATTCTTACTCCTAATTTCACGTAATCTCTGATATTTTCTTAATTCCTGTATGTTTTCCTTTCCCAGAATGAATCATACAGGATATAATCCTTTGAGTCTGGCTACCTTAGCATAATGCATTGCAAAGTGGTTGTGTGTGTCAATCAAGAACTAGATTTTAAATGGAAAAAAAAAAAAAACCAACACATAGGTTTCAAAGGCCTTAATATTATTTTTGCTAAAAGTCATCGAGTTGGTTATAACTCATAGTAAACCTGCACAGGGTTTCCAAAGCCTTTTTAAATCTTTGCTGAAGCAGAAAACCTCATCTTTCTCCTGCAGAGTGGCTTGTGGACTCTGCAACAACAAAAAAAATGAACTAAACCATACCTTCCATGACACTCACTACTCAACTGGATTCATTAATCTATTGGAAGGGCCACACAGAACTCAGACACCATACTCAGAATTACAGTTTACTAGGAAAGTTAACAGCTTACAGTCTGGGGTCAGAAATGTTCAGAGCGAAGTTGTGCCAGTCAGCTGCTGATAAATGCCTACAGGGCACACCACTCCATCATATGCCTCAGTCTGAATGCACTCGCCTCTAGTTCAGTGGGTCAGCAATCCTAGCTCCCTCACCATACACCGTGTGTCCCGGAGGCACCCCACTGCACGGCAAGCCTCTTGCTCAAAGTCGTTTAGTTTTGCTTGCTCTATGGGCTGGGAAGCCTACCACTCTGCCTCATGCTCTGGTTCTTGGTTTTGCTATTGTTGCTCATCTGCCACTCCTCTGGTGTCACAATTTTCTGTCCCTGGGTTGAGAAGGTTCAATGTGTACAGATCTCAGGGTCCAAAGCACACAATTCACTCCTGGCTCTTCTTCCCTGTCAGGAGTGAGATTTCCCCTGTAGCTTGTGAGATGGTTCATTTTATACCCATGCTAGCGTTTCATAAGGAGCCCTGGTAGTGTAATGGGTTATGCGTTGGGCCACCAAACACAATGTCAGCAATTTGAAACTACTTACACTCCAAGACTATGTCTCCATGGCAGAAAGATGAGGTGTTCTGCTCTTGTAAAGATTTACAGCCTTGGAAACTTATGCAGGGTCACTATGAGTTGGAATAGACTCTACGGCACACCATCACCACCACAGATGATGGCTAGAAGACACATCAGACAATTCACTATCTCACAGGCTTGAACTGCTGATCTTGTAGTTTGCAGTCCAGTGTTTATTCTATGGAGCCACTGCACTCACAAGAATGTTATTAGGTAATCTTTTTATTATTCTTTTGGATCTAGCAATCATGCATAAACTCGAAACTATTTAAATGTAATTTGTATATACATATATATGTGTGTGTTTGTCTGTTGTTGTTAAGTGTTGTTGAGTTGGTTTTGATCCATAGTGACCCTGTATAGGGTTCCTGAGGAGCAGCTGGTAAGCCTGAACCACTGATCTTGCAGTTCAAATGGCTTTGCAGTTTGGCACATTAACTCACAGTGCCACAGCAGTACAGACACACACACACTCTCTCTCTCTCTCCCCAAATATGTGATCAACAAAGAAGTAAAAACAATCTTATATGTTATCTTTAAGGGCAAAACACTGTATTTTTAGGATGATATGACCTGAGGCACAAAATTATTAAATTATTAATTGAATTTTCTGTTCTATGACTTCAAAACAGTAAGATACAATCTTCCTTTGATAGACTGTAAGTTACCACATAACATGGTCATTTTTAAAGACTGCAATATCATTCCTACCTGATCATCATCTTCTACAACCACCAGAGTTAATTTATTCTTCTTAAAATCCAATCTGGTTATCTTGGGCCTATAATAATGTGAAAATAACAGTTAGATTACAAAAGAACACCCTCTAAATTAAACAACAAAGAACAATTACTTTAGTTCAAGTACAGCTAATCATCTAACTTCTGAATTGAAAATTGATGAGGGTAAAAACAAGCTGCTTTGCCTCCTATCTAAAAACAATGAGCTCTAACAGAAAACATACTTAGTTTAAAACCAGTATCTCTGGCAAAATTGATATAGCACATATATCACACATTAAATATAAGTGAAAAAAAAAAAAAGAAGAAGAAGAAATTCCTATAATTTCAGAGGTCCCAATTAAAATGTAAGCAATTCTTCAGGCCTAAGAAAATGTGCTGCCTTGTTAAGGCAGCAGTACAGGGATTGGCTATAGGGAAGTTCCTAGTGCTTTTTAAAATGCATACAAGAAAAACTATGTACTGATCAGGGCCTGCAGCTCTGTTTTCTTCAGCAATTGTGCTTAAATAAAATACAACTTTAAAAATTAAAATTAAAAAAATCTCAAGTTATGACCAATTTTCCTGAAATAATTCTATCTCCATTCCTGTAATAAAATCCCAACCCATCTGCCATACTTAAACTTTGTATTTCTATAAACTGTCAATGTCAAAACAATGTGACTCTCAGTCCCGTTAATTTCAAAATATAACTTATGTAAATATAATTTGCTTACAAGAGCTATACTAAACCAACAAATAAATAAACAACAAACAAGTAATTAGTAGGAGGAAGAGAAGGTGAAGAGGAGCTATCATTTATTTGCGTAACAAATACTTACTTGCCGTTGTGTGTGCCGCTAAGTTGATTCCCACTCACTGGGAACTTCTAGGACAGAGCAGAGCTGCCCGGAGTTTCCTAGGCTGTAATCTTTACGGGAGCAGATCACCATGTCTTTCTCCTGTGGAGTCTCTGGTAAGTTTGAATTACTAACCTTTCAGCAGTGTTTAGTGGGCAACCAAGTGCTTAACTGTTGCACCACCAGGGTTCCTTAACCCCCAAAGAGAACTTTTTACATACATAATGCCCACTAAGTGACAGGTACTATTCCAAGTTCTTTACATATATTAACTCAATTCAGCCTCACAACAATTTACAAGACCAATTTCTTTATAGAAATAGATTTTAGGCAGAGAGACAAAGTATTATTTGCCCACATGGCAAGCCACAAGTGCCAATGAAGTAACACTCCTGAGTGGGTACAAAACTGACCTAGCTTCCTCAACCATAAAACAAACAAATGTAACCCCAAGCCCATAGCCAGGGAGTCAAATTTGACTGTTCTTTGTTGTTTAATTTAGAGGGTGTTCTTTTGTAATCTAACTGTTATTCTCACATTATTATAGGCCCAAGATAACCAGATTGGATTTTAAGAAGAATAAATTAACTCTGGTGGTTGTAGAAGATGATGATCAGGTAGGAATGATATTGCAATCTTTAAAAATGAGCATGCTATGTGGTAACTTATAGTCTTTCAAAGGGGGATTGTATCTTACTGTTTTGAAGTCATAGAACAGAAAATACAATTAATAATTTAATAATTTAACTCCCTGTATGTTATAGAACAAAACTGCTACATATAGGCTCTGGGCTGTAATCTTTACAGAAGCTAATTGCTAGACCTTTCTTGTGCAGTGTCACTGGGTGGGTCTGAACAGCCAAGTTTCAAGTTAGTGGATAAGTGCAAACCACTTGTGATAACTTTGGATGTTTTCCTCACCCACTTCGGTACACCCACTAAAGATATTCCACTCAAACCTCTCAGAATTGACCAGCAGGGACACCTAGCAACTAAAATAATATGAAATACTATCTTCAAAGTTTTTGAGCGAACTATCAACCTAAAATTCCATTCTCAGTCCAATTATCAATGAGGTAAAAGAGAAGAATAAAAGTATTTTAAGGAAGCCAAAATGTCTAACCGTTATTTTCTACATCTTATATAGTTACTTGAGAATACATAACAGAAAAAAAAAATCATGGGACAAGGACAGAGAAGCCCAGATGAGAAAATAGGAAAGGGAAGAGGGCCAACATGAAATTTGTACAACAGTCTGGTAAGCAAACAGTTGGAAACGGAACATTTAATGTAGCTCACTGAGAAGGCGAAGACAAAGGCAGGTATTAAAGGTTGGCAGTTCATACCTACTAGCTGCTCTGCAGAAGATGAGGCTGTTTGCTCTTGTAAAGATTTCATGTTTGAAACCACAGGGTCACCATGAGTCGGAATCAACTGGATGGCAGTGGGTTTGGGGTTTTTTATGTATAAAGGAGGCCTGGTGGTCCTGTGAGTTAAGCATTGAGCTGCTAACCAAAAGGTCAGTGGTTCAAATCAACCAGCTGCTCCATGGAAGAAAGATGAAGCAGTCTTCTCCCTTAAAGATCACAGCTTTGGTAACCCTATGAAGCAGTTCTATTCTGCCCTATGTTGTTGTTAAGCATCGCTGAGTTGTTTCCAACTAATAGTGACTCTGTATAGAGTTTCCGAGGAGAGGCTGATGGAGTTTGAACTGCCGACCTCACGGTTCAAACCGATCTTGCAGTCCAGTGCTTATTCCACAGTACCACAGGGTCGCTATAAGTCGGAAACAACTCAACAGCCGTGGCAGTGAAATAGCGTATAGGAGAAAGGAGCCAAGAACTCTGGGAATAACAAACAGTTACACAAAAAGAAACATCAGACCAACACACGTATAATTCCTGTACTAATTTTGAGAAAAACATAATAATGTAAACATGCAAATAATAAAATGTTAATCTAACTTCTAAAGTATGGCTGAAAGAAGCTGGGGCACAGCTTACAGGGAGTTGTAAAAATACTACTACTATCATCTTCCTTTATACAACAGAGCATAAAGATTGCCTGTGGAACAAGAAATAAATGTGTAACTATACTATTTTCTATAAAGTTAGAAAAAAACCCCGGAGACCTTACAGTGCCAAGAAAACGTTTAATATATATAGAAATAGACAGTATATATTTGACCTACCTTGAAATTACTGTAGACACAGCTAGCAGAGTTTAAAAACCTAGACTTGTCTCTGAGAAGTCGAAATAAAGATGGGTAGGGCTACAGCAGGAGACAGTTGCTTTTCATTTACCGGCTTTTCAAAACTATTTGACTTTCACACTCTAGTTAAGGTGCTTCCTTTAAACTAATGTTTTTTACTCATTTAAAAAAAAAAAAAAAAAAGTACTTTTGGCATTTTACTCTGCTTACCAAAAAAACAGGCCAATTTTGGTCTCTCCTTCAAAAACAAGGACTCCAGTTGGAGTTAATCCCAAACTATAGTCATTCCCGTCTCTAGCCTAATTTAAGAGAGCAAAATGTGTTAGTTTATTTGCATAAAAGTTTGCATTTTCATACAACTGTTTAACGTTACTGACACATAGCATAAAATAACTATACGGTGGCTGTGTGCCGTGGAGTCAGTTCTGACTCATAGCAACCCTGTACAGGGTTTCGAAGGCTGTAAATCTTTACGGGAGCAGAATGCCTCATCTTTCTCCAGCGGAGCAGCTGGTAGTTTCGAACTGCTGACCTTGCGGTTCGCAGCCCGATTCGTAACCACTATGCTATATAGATAACTTCAACAATTAGAGTATCCAAAATGTCTTCCCTAAGAAAATACACGCATATAATTACATTTTTAGTTCCATTATTGAAAACCTTTAGTTTTAAAGCCCATCTTCATTGAAAGGGGGCAATTATACATCTACAACAAAGAAAGTTCTTCCCAGATCCCTCCCATATTCTTTCCTGCTAAATCTTGTAAAAGATTGCCTTTTCTGGGAAAATTTGGCTAGCTAAAGGAGCTCTGGTAGTGTAGTGGTTACGAATTGGGCTGCGAACCTCAAGGTCAGCAGTTCAAAACTACCAGCTGTTCTACAGGGGAAATATGAGGCTTTCTGCTCTCGTAAAGATTTACAGCCTCGGAAACCCTGTACAGGGTCGCTATGAGTCGGAACCAACTCCATGGCACATAACCACCACCAACCTAGAAATAATTTAAATGATTACATCAAGCCATTCTGTAGCTTATCAAACTCCTCTCAAGCTACACAATTTCAACTTTGACTCCTAATAATAACATTTACACCAACATAAAGTATTATAATTTTCAAATTAAAAGACTAGAAAGGTGTTTAAAAAAAACAAACATTTATCACAGTTGGAACAACAAAACAAAAAATCATCAGCATAAAAGCTCTAACATATTTTTCTCTGGGATTCTGGTTGTCTTTCTTCTTAACATGAATCTTTCTGTGGCATTGTAGTTATTCAATATTTCATCAATCTTTTTACCCATACATCCAAATTATCCAATGCTAGCCTATACAAACTGTATGGCTAAAATATTTAAAAACTGCAGATGAAAAATTCCATCATCCCCTTGAGTCTCACAGATTAAAAAGAAACACCATCAAACATAATGCTTACCTTGACCACATGCATATCAACCCCATACATCTCTAGCCATTTGGCTTTGTTTAGATAATTGGTTTCAGCTTGTCCTGGTGTTTGACCTCTGAAATCAAAACAAAAAAATTAAAATAATAATATTTATAAAACAAATTCTACACCAAGGACAGGAATAAAAGAAAATAAATATGAAACACAAGTATGTACCACTTAACGTCCATTCAGGCAACGTCTGACTGCATATACATCCATGGGTGAGGGCGTCCAGTTGTCCGAATGCCCGGACACCACACCCTCATCTTGCAGTCAGAGACCCAGTTGTGCCCAGTAGCTGTTTGTGGCCCAGAAGCACATAGTCTGCAGTAATGGAGGTCCACACACAAATTCCCAATCTCAGTCCCCCTCAGCTTCTGCAACCCTTGTTTTGCCCTCTGTTGTGCTGTCAGACACCTACAGAAAGGTTAGGTGTCCCAGCCCTGGCTCAGGTGCCTTTGTTTCCCTTGGCCCATAATGTCCCTTCCTGGGCAGGCTCTCACAGGTGAACTGGCCTTCCCTATAGCTGACTCAGCAGAGTGCTCACCTGAGGCATCCACAGCAGCAGGTGCACAGGCCACTGCCAGGCTGGACTCAGTCAGTCACCTAAGGCACCTTCCAGCAGAAGCTGCTGTGGCCTTTAATGGGCTTAGAGAAGGCCCTAGATCAGTGCAACAGGGAGCCTCACAGCCCACAAATACAGTGTTCCCACAATGCCCAAATCACATAATGCCCTATTTCAAAGAGCACACTATGGACATTGGTGGCATAGCAGTTCAAATCCAATGGACAAAGATGAAAGTGTCTGTACCCGTAAAGGTGTGCAGCCTAGGAACCGAGTGACCAGTACACAAGCCCCGCCACCACCAGTATGGATGCTAAATGATGCACAGCTGCACTGTGGTGATGGGAAAGCAAGTGTGATCAAATGCCAAGTACATACCTGTATTCTTTCCATTTCTCAAATATAGCCAGCTCCATCTGTTCAGTCTGGATGGGCACAAACCTGAACTCGGATACAAGTTCAGGACTATGTTCAGCAAGATCATAGTCACCAAGTTCAACTAGAAACATAAGTTTCACAAAGTTAGATTTTGTTAGTACTAAAAAGTTTATTTTCTGATTACTTTTCAAAATCCATTTTATACATAAAAATTGCTAAAAGGATTAGAAAGACTTTCTTAACCTATCAGGAATTCCTAACTTCCAGACCATTCCTTAAAATAAATCTAGCTTAGACTTGTGACTTGTCAGTCTACACACAAAAATCATACGATTGTTGCTGGCGCTGTGTTCTTAATTGTCTTTTCGTTCCCTTAATTTATTCCGTGAGTGGTACAATAGTTATCTGGCTCAGCTGCTTGGCTGCTAACCAAAAAGTTGTTCATCAAACCCCATCCAGAGGTACCACGGAATAAAGGTCTGAAATGTCAACCACTGAAAATCCTATGGAGTACAGTAAAGTTCTATTCCGACATATACAGGGTTGCCATGAGTTGAAGTCACTCATATTTTATAGTTCCTTCCTTTTGAAAATCTCACAGAGAGATACCTTTTAATTGATTAATTAAATAAATAAAAATTTATTTTAGCTATCCTGAAAAACAATTGCACTGAAAACCCTATGGAGCTGTTCTGTTCTGCATGATGGAGGTGTCATGAGTTGGAATCAATATATAACAACAACAGCATTTTAAGTATTTAACTAACATGTATAGAGCATGATAAGAAAAGATACAATGCCGTCCTTTCTGGAATTTAAAAATTATTCATTTTAAATTTAAAAATTCAAAGAAAAAAATGACTAGGAAAATGGGAGAAGTTAACAACATATTTATCTCTGATGTTGTTATTAGGTGCCATTGAGACAATACTGACCCATAGTGACCCTATGCACAGCAGAATGAAACTCTGCCCGATTCTGGGCTAACCTCACTATTGTTGCCACGCTTGAGTCCATCTATACTGCCACTTGGCCAGTCCTTCTCGTTGGGGGTCTTCCTCTTTTTCTCTGACCCTCCACCTTACCAAACATGATAGCCTTCTCCAGCGGCTGTTCCCTCCTGACAATATGTCCAAAGTATGAGA